TGTTGTGTTGTTCTTGTTGTTGTGTTTTGTTATATTGTGTTGAGTTCTTGTTCTTGGGTTGGTTTGTTGTGTCATGTTATGTAGTGTTATATGTTATGTTGGGTTGTTGTGTCATGTTGTTATGTCATGAAATGTTATGTTGTTGGGTTGTCGTTTCATGTTGGGTTATTTTATGTTATGCTGGGTTGTTGTGTTGGGTTATTGTGTCATGTTATTTTATGAAATGTTATGAAGTGTTATGATATGTTATGTTGCTAAGTTGGGTTGTTGTGTCATGTTATGTTATATTGGGTTGTTGAGTTGGGTTATTGTGTCATGTTGTTATGTTATAAAATGTTATAATATATTATGTTGTTCGTTGTTTTGTTGGGTTGTTATGTCATGTTGTTATGTTGTGTTACGCTATGAAATGTTATGGTGATAGGTTGTTGTGTCATGTTGTTATGTTATGTTGTGTTATGAAATGTTGTGGTATGTTATGTTGTTGGTTGTTTTGTTAGGTTGTTTTGTCATGTTGTAATGTTGTGTTATGTTATAAAATGTTTTGCTATGTTGTTGGGTTGTTTGTTGATGTTCTGGTTGTGTTGTGCAATGTTGTTGTGTTATGTGGTGGTTGTGTTATGTTGTTGTTGTGTTATGTTGTTGTGTTGTTGTTGTTTTGTCTTGTGATCTGCTGGCTCTGCTCTACTTAATGACCATATGGTGCAGCATTGAAGCATCTGAACGTGCTGTTCATCATGCACGAGTGGACCTGATATCAGATCCAGGGAAGCATTGAGTTATTGTGCCATCAGTGGTGTCTCGCTTATAATCTCCAGTCATTTCACTGTAGTCAGCTTCATTTCTGTGTGCATGTGGATTTTCCTGCAGAGTCGATCTTGCTGTTAGGTTTGGAAACCCAACATTGAGTCTGACTGTGACAATTCTGCTACTTTGGTCTTGTTTATTCTTGGTTTTGTGACACTCATTTGCGCTTGTCTTTCTGTGTGCGTTTGTTTTTGTTGTCTATTTATGTTGTATGTACAAAACTTATTGCTTGGATTTCATTGCATGAAACTAGCTGAACAAATTCCTTGCAAAGAGGGTTTAAAATCGACAAAACTAAACAAATTAAAGCTAGTTAAGATCGAGTCTGTTTTATAAGCTGATTAACCAGGTAATTTTCAGTTTAGTTTGAACCAGTCATTTAGGTACCACGGAGGTAGCTAAGCTTTAATAATCACTCGTTGTTGCCATGGTAACTTACCCTTCATGGCTAACCTGCTTTGAACTAAGTTGTGTTCTGGTTTAGAGATCACAAACACACTTTGACCATAGTGACAAAGCTCTAATTTTTTTAAACTAATCCTGAGTTTTGTTCAGCCACCATCATGGTACAGGGTCAAGGTTATATAACTTGATATAATTGTTGATGAGAAGCCTGACAAGAGGTTGATCCATTGATTCCACCATGTTTCTCTTTGACACACACCAACTCAGAAACTCTTTAGTTGTTTCCCTATTAACAATAATACATTTGTGTTGGTGTTTATGTGCATTCGAATAGGATTTATCAATCATAACCTGAACTCCCATTAGTTAACTGGTGTAACAAGCCATGTTACTACTAATGTTACAACTAACTCACAAGTCATGTTAAGTCAGGTCACATCAAGTCAAGTCAAGTCAAGTCAAGTCAGGTGATTTGAGGTGAGGTGAGGTAAGGTCAAGTCAAAGTCAAGAGCAGATCAGGTCAGGTCAGGTCAGGTCAAGTCAAGTCAAGTCAAGTCAAGTCAAGTCAAGTCCAAGTCAGGTGAAGTCAAGTCCAAGTTCAAGTCAGGTGATTTGAGGTGAGGTGAGGTGAGGTCAAGCCCAAGTCCAAGTCACGTAACATCAAGT